CCCCTCTTCTTCATGTCTCTTCTACATCAACATGTGTCCCCTCTTCTTCATGTCTCTTCTACATCAACATGTGTCCCCTCTTCTTCATGTCTCTTCTACATCAACATGTTTCCCCTCTTCTTCATGTCTCTTCTACATCAATATGTGTCCCCTCTGTGGAAAGAGACTCTGAAAGTTTCAGGAACAAAGATTCTCTCTCTTTTTGTCCTGATCCATTTCTATAAAAACCTGTCTGAAAATGAGCTGATCCGATTTTGGCCACTTTATGATGTCATAACGATGTTTTGGCTTGTGTAACCGTTAGCCAATCAGCAACCAAGGTAACCCCCCCCCCCACCTTATCACCTGAATCTCCTCCTAGAGCACCATTGTGTACTTTTTAACCAAATCTCTCTCCGAGGGGCGTGGGGAGGGGCTCCTTATTTTTATCTAAAGTAACAGACAGAGAATCAGCACTTTGGAAACAGGACACACATGACACACAAAACTCTGACTTTATTATGAAAAAATATGCAAAAAAGACTCAAATTCAATAAAAAGAGGTGTGTTACTCGTTCATCGTGGTTATAAAATGCTGCATTGATTATGAGTCACTGAGATACATGATAGAGTATCTGTTAAAAACACAGCAAAATCTTCATAATATGAAATAGAAAAAGCAATTTGTATTTTTGCCTAGTGTAGTTATGATATCTAGTTTGGATTGGAATCACTAGTAGAAGGGCTAAAACTAGCAAAAAAGTTAACAAGTAATGTTAAATGATGCCCTTAGCTTTAGGCTATTATCTGCAGGTTTAATGAAAATAGCCTAAAAATAATGACTTATAAGAGGTTTAATTTCCATGGAATAATCCCAGATTCCTGAGTTAATTTCCCTTTTGAAAATGTGCATCCATTTACCAACGCTTTGTGTTTTGTTTGCTGACGGACCCTCTTCCTCTCCACAGGACTATGAGATGTTTTCGGACGCGGTGGAAGACGATACAATGGACCAGTTTCTGAAGATGGCGTGAGGAAGGCGACATTTCATTCTCCATCTTAACCCCCTCTCCCCAAACACCCTTTATCCAGTCTCTCTCTCTCTCTGTCTCTCTGCACCACTGGCAGTATCCTCTCACTATCAATGCCATAAAGAAGAATGCCAAATATCCTAACCAATCAGAAGACACACATTCCCCGTGCTGCACCATTAGACTCAGTCTTAATCTGCTCCTTTTCTCGTGATTTATTTCAGATATTTTCCCTGTCTGACAGACTATAGTGTTCGAATCAATGGGGTGTGTAAACATGCGGTAATTAAGGCGACTAATCTCGGCCGCAGCCGATCGCTGGAGATTAGAGTAATCCGCAGGATGACAACGTTCAACCCAGAATCTTCCTGAATCCTCCGCAGAACAAACTCACTTTCAGTCTTAACTACTTTGTCTTCTTTTTTCCGTAGCCTTCACGTTCCCATGTCTGTACGCTATTTGTACTTTACATGGTTGCAAAAAACACACACAGAAGTAGCAAGGACCGTGGTGTCCTCAAATCTGAATAATGATGAGGGTGATAGCAGCTAAAAAAAGGCCCGTTAGGCTGTGAAGCTTTTTGTAATTCTGGTCCGTTGGTCACCTTATGTCATATATAACAACACGTCTGTTCAGTAGCGGGCGTCTGGCTTCAGTTGGATACAAATATTAAAAATACTTATTACAAGTTTAATGACGCCCCCAACAAGCACTTATCTCAGACACATTAATGGTATCCTGTTAATTTGTGATACAAGTTACATTCAGACGCATGTTTCCTTAATGTTTAGAAAGAAAATGTCTCACAAAGACCTAATAACATGTGACACTTACAAATGGTGGGAGTTTAAAAAGCTGATTTAAAGTTGTGTATGTATTTACATTGCACTACATAGACAAATGAGGTATTCCACCTGAGGTGGTATAGTCAGATTTACAGGAAGCGTAATTGAACTGGAAAAATTATAGCTGGATTTGAAAAGTCAAATCTGTTTTCGTGGATACAAAATAACCAACTTTCATCAAATCGGACCTAAGGTTTTAACATAATCCTGCTGAAAAAACAAATACATAACTACCTTGCTAGTGGTTATACATAAAATATGAAAAATCCAAATAATAACAGTTGTACTTCCCACCTTTTGGTTTTCAAATCAGATCTGGAAACCAAACAATCTTTAGACATATCAGAATTGACACCAATGGGCCAAAGTTATTAAAAACGTTAGTAATTTTTAAGTAAAAGGTCCTAGGTACAGCATTTCAGTATTTAGCTGCTTTGTTTAAATAAGGCAGATGGCAGATAATTTCACATTTGGTGCCAATACATATCTGTAATGCGCTTTGAAGGTGGATTTCCTCTGTAGTATTAGCACTTACCTGGCATTTTCCCTCTCTTTTCCATGATCTGTGTAAAATGGAAGCTTTGTTACCGGCTCTGTATCGCTGACTGAAAAACCACAACATTTTGACTGAAAAGAAAGCTTTGAAACACGTAGCTTTACATTCCTTTGTTTATTTTTACGTTACAGTTTGGATGAGGCGTGAAGATGCAGAAATGTGACTATGCACCAAAACCCTGCCTCACTCTGAACACATACAGGTCAAAGTGTTTAAATAAAGTCTTACTAACCTTTGGGAACAATTACCACATGGGAAAAATGAAGGCTTCTCGTATTTGCTCTGTGCATTCACTCAGTAATGTGTTATTTTCATGTTTTGGGTTGCTTGTGTTTTACAAAAATTGAAAACAAGATGGTTTTCCCTCTCTTTCGCTTCTTATCTGTCAACCCCCGCGTCACATGCTTTCAGAATTGTGTTTCTACAGTTTGGGATCCCTTGTAATGACGGCTTTCACACACACTGTTTGTGCACTGTTTTGTAAGTCGGTGGTTGTGGACGTTTGCCTGTTATTGATGCTTATTCACTATGAATCATGTTTAAGACGTTCCATGTGTCTCTCTCTGAGCTCCTGCTTTTTGCTTTTTGGACCAACTCCCCTTGGCCAAAAGAAAATCGGGAATACAAATGTTGTTGTCTTCCGAGAAGATTGTGAAAGTGATTTATGGGTGGAAAAAATTAATAAAAAGGACTTGAATCTACCTGTCTGGATTTATTTGAGTTGCTCCCGATGGCCGTGTGTGTGTGAGTATGAATGAATGTTAGCTTCCCTAGAGCAATAGCACTGCTCTGCATGAATGAGGTGTGAATGGGTGAAGCACTGTATATTAAAGTACAGCCCATTTACCATTTATACCTGAAGAGTTGAAGCCATAATCCGCTCTGGCATCTCGGAAGTCTGATCCAATGATACTTAATTATAACGTGTCATTACCTATTCATAGTGTTCCCATTAATAGGGAATTTTACAGTATCGTGCGGGGACATTTGCTGACTCACCAGAGGGTCATTTTTAATTTGCAAGGTAGTGGAATATTACGATAGTGCCTATAAATATTTCATGATCTGCAGTGTCCGTACATTCATAGCAATGTTGGGTGTAAGACACATAATGACTTTTCAGACATTATCATTAATCTGTTCTCTATAGCGATAAAGTGTGACATTAAGTACATACAGATCTAGTTTGCTGTGTTTGTGAACAACATATTTTAAGTGGAATTATTTTGAGTCTCCTCAATGAAAAAACAATTAAGAAAGCACACATTTAACAATGTTTGAATGATAATAAAAGAGTTTTCTTGTTTTTTAAGTTGTTATTATTATAAACGTTTTTCATCACCTTTTGATATATTTGTTTCCATATGTTTCTCTAAAATGATTATGTAATATGAGATAAGTCAAGTAATACATTTATTAAAGTCGCATAACAATTATCAGTAATTAGGAAGCTATAGCAAATGGCCTTACAGAACATGAAAAACCCTATGCTCTTGCTCAGATGCAGTACCTCATGTGTTCGTTAGGTGGAGATAGGTGGATTAGTCTTCTACGTTTGCAGATGAAGAAGACGAAGAAGAAATTAGTCATGCTAAAGAGATTCAGCAGGAAATGTGGATCCGACTTCAAAACAAAAACAGACATTATGGCACATCAGACACAAAGCTGCATATTATTCCCTTTTGCTTAGAATATGATTCACAAATATAACTCCGCTTAAACAAACAGGTACATAGTAATGGGTAAAGGAAAGCCTATAGGCCAGGCCCACATGAGCACTTTGTCCTATCAAACGAGATCAGGATAAACGCTGTGGATATAATTATTTCCCCAAAATCTGTTGATGAAGAAGTCACTGGGAAATATGTATTATTTGCACAAGGTTGTGAATGAGATATAACTATTAATTGTTTACTGATCCTAAGTTGAAAAAACAGAAAAAGACTCACAACTCCGAATAAGCCTCGCCGTGGGTGTTTTATTGTGAAATTCTCTACCGGATTTTGCGTTGTTGAAGAGCTTTGAAAAGGGCAAAACATTTGTCCAAAGAAGGAAGCTGTACAAAATTGACAGGTTCTGCTGAGGTAAGGTACATTAACGTTTTATATGAGAGGCATTGGTGTTACGATTAAAGGATAAAATCTCTACGCTGGTGTTTGCAAAATGTACTTTGTTATTTCTGTCATTGTCGTTACTGTGCAACTATCATGAGCAGCTAATTCATAGGTTAGCTAGCTAAGCTAAGCTATCTGACACAATGTTTTGAAGCGATATTAAAGCTTAATTGAAGCCCTTTCTCTTGATATTCATTAACGGAATACAAGCAAAAGACATGGTTTGCTAATTTTATATTGTTTGTCCCATTTGAACACTTTAATAATGTTGTCAGCTGTCATATTTAGCTGCCTCTGTTTGGTGTTTATGTTAGCAAAGGTAGCAGCAGCAGCTGTTGTTTTGCTTTTCGGCTAAGGAAACGCTGCATTGAGTTGAACAGATTCACTTTTTTGACAATTTTTTAGTTGCTTTGGTCAAGTTTTCTCTCATTTCGTGCATCAGGTACTCCAAGAAGCACCTTTTCATTCAAACGTGAGAGGATGATTTGAAGTATACGTCACACTGGATACAAACACAGCTAATGTTTAGCTAATTAACATTACTTTTTTTTTTACATTACATGTCAATTGCTTTTCTTTTTCTCCCCCTTGTAGCCACATGTAAAGATGAGCGTCCCAGACTACATGCAGTGTGCCGAGGACCACCAGACGGTTCTAGTAGTCGTCCAGCCGGTGGGCATCGTCCCCGAGGACCAGTTCTTCAAGATCTACAAACGCATCTCCAGCGTGAGCCAGGTGAACATCAGGGACTCTCAGCGGCTCCTCTACATCCGCTACCGCCACCACTACCTGCCCGAAAACAACGAGTGGGGGGACTTCCAGACGCATCGTAAAGTAGTGGGTCTCATCTCCATCACCACCTGCGGTTCTACCAAAGAATGGGCCCAAACTGCGGAGCGTTTCCACGGGCAGAAGGAGGTGTACAGCTCCACGCTCTACGACTCGCGGCTGCTGGTGTTCGGGCTACAGGGAGACATCGCAGAGCAGCAGAGGACAGACGTGGCCTTCTACCCCAGCTTTGAAGACTGCCCCGACGTGGAGAAGAGGGTGGATGACTTTGTGGAGTCCATCTTTATTGTGTTGGAGTCCAAGAGGCTCGACCGGGCCACAGATAAGTCCGGTGATAAGACCCCTCTGCTCTGTGTGCCCTTTGAGAAGAAGGACTTTGTGGGTTTGGACACGGATAGCAGGTGAGTTGTTATGTTTGCTTCAACGCCTTATACTTTACTAAAGTGCCATAGCATTTTAAAGGCTAGTTAAATAATTTCTTCACCTACAAATTATTCTTCGGATATCTCACCCCCTGTTACCTTGAATTGTTGAAGAGAACTGTTTTTGTTTTTCCTTCTTGCTTGTTTTCAAAGTTAAAGGTAAGGGTAGGTAAGAATGGAGAAACCAGCTCGAGTGCGCTAGAATTTGAAAGTACGCAGCCGAAAAAAATCTGCCCCTTCCTTCAGACTTCCTTACAGAGCCCCTCCTCCAACACACGAACGCACATGACCAATAGAGAGGCGAAGTCCCTCCCTTTCCGGGGGAGCTCCATGGGACCTTATTTCGGAAAAAGTATGTATTGAAGTCAATGGGGAGAGAAAGATTATCTTTCGATCCCGTTTGAATTGTGCCACGAATTACACATAGGATGTTTGTCAATTTAAAAAATAATTTGGAAAGTCAAAAAAATTCAAATGTGTCGTCACACTTTTTTTTGTGAAACCGCTCAATGAACTAAATCTCCCGTCTCGCACCACACACCCAGACGGCCGTCCTGGTTGGCACATTTCACTTCTTTCTTTCAGAATGAGGCGAAAAGTATAAAAAGAGGTGAAAATCACTCCAAGTCTGGGCATGTTGAGAGCTGTACACACACACAAGGGGAGTTAGTCGGTTCCTAAGAGCCAGCATGCGGGACCGGGATTCTGGGATTTGTAGTCTTTCTAGTTGCGTATTTTTTATAGTCTTATATTTCAACAGTTTTACGACAAACTGTGACTTTTTTTTACATGGAAATAATTTTTAAGATTGACAAACATCATATGTGTAATTTGTGGCACAATTCAAAC